CTGCCAGTTCCACCAGGGCTGCCAGGAAAATCAGGACCATGTCATGCTCTCCCTTCATGCGGTGCCCAGGGACCTGCCAGCATGAAGGACCTGATGCTTGCACCTTCACCTCTTCTTCTGCCTCTGCCAGATCAAAGAGGCCTTGAAAGCACAGCCCAGAGGGTGGAGCAAAACTCCCTCCCTCTTGCTCCAGGCAGGCCTCTTTCTGTCTGTCCCCCAACCTCTGCCACAAGAAGGTCCTCAAAAGGGAGAACAGACTCATGGTTTAAGTACTGTCCATCAAAGAGACCAGCATGCCTCAAGAACTTTTCCTGACACCCAGCAGCTTGCCAACTGCACAGGCCAGCACGCAGCTCTGCAAAAGATGAAAAGGCACCCCTGCACTCACCCATATCAACCCTGCCCCTGGAACTTTTAGGATGGAGAGAGGACCTGGAGCATAGTGGGGCCGGGCGGGGCGAGGCGGCCCCGGCGGGCGGAGCGGCAGCGCCCCCTGCCGGGCCCGCCCGGGGCTGTCCCCCCGGCCCCGACACACACGCCCGGCCCCGCCCGCCGCGGTTCCTGCCCGGCCGCAGCCCCGGCTCCTCTCCCCGTGTCTCCCAGGGCGCAGTAATACACCGCCGCGTCCCCGCGCCGGGGCCGGTCGAGCCACAGGGCGCTGGACCGGCGGTCTGCCGCCACCCGCAGCCAACCCGGCGGGTCCCGTAACTCCTTGGAGTCTTTGTGAATGCTCGCGAGTAACGCGGGGCCTCGGCCCGGGAGCTGACGGTACCAGTGGATGAAGTTCCCAGTTTGTATGTTGGGGTGAGAGCAGTTGATGTTCGTGCACCCGGAACAGCATCTGAGGGGACTGGGTCTGGTGCTGCTGGTACCAGTAGATGTAGGGATAAGAAACAGTGGTGGAGAAGTTGCAGTGCAGAGTTGCGTTGTGTCCTGCCTGGATGGTCATTTCTGGTGGGAACTGGAGCACAGAGTCCTTTTGGGCATGACCTGTCAAACCAGAAAGGGCTTTCAGCTTTGCTTGCCATGGACCTGTCTGTCTGTCACTTCATCAGCTTCCTCCCTGTCCCCACTTTCCGTCTCACTTTTCCCAGTGTCAGAAACACTGAGCTGTCTGTCCTTCCACACTTTTTCCTGCAGACTCTTCTTTACAGCCATCCCTACAGAAACTGGAAACATTGGATCCATTATGCCTCATTGCTCAGCTCCCTGCCATCTTTCCCATCCGGAGCCGCGTCGGGGGAACCTCTCGGGGCTGCGGGGTCTCTGGGGCCTGGCGGGTCCCGGTACCGGTGGTTCAGGGGAAGCGCCCCGGGGCGCGGGCCCGGCCGGGACTGTCCCCCCGGCCCCGACACACACGCCCGGCCCCGCCCGCCGCGGTTCCTGCCCGGCCGCAGCCCCGGCTCCTCTCCCCGTGTCTCCCAGGGCGCAGTAATACACCGCCGCGTCCCCGCGCCGGGGCCGGTCGAGCCACAGGGCGCTGGACCGGCGGTCTGCCGCCACCCGCAGCCAACCCGGCGGGTCCCGTAACTCCTTGGAGTCTTTGTGAATGCTCGCGAGTAACGCGGGGCCTCGGCCCGGGAGCTGACGGTACCAGTGGATGAAGTTCCCAGTTTGTATGTTGGGGTGAGAGCAGTTGATGTTGATGTCGGTGCTCTTGGTGGTCTCTGCCGATGGTTCCTGCTGTACGTGGGCTCTGCCTGCAGCCACTGGAGAGAAAGGAGAAGGAAAGGATGCATCCGCCAGGATGCAGTCCTGAGTAATGTGCTAGAGGTGATCCTGACTTAGCAGGGGAGTTGGACTAGATGACCTCTGGAGGTCCCTTCCAAATATGAACAATTTCGTGATTCCATGATTCATCACAGCAGATGAGCAGGAGGA